ACCAGGAAAGAAGTACCACTGTGCTAATTAGACACTTCTACTCAAATCTTTTCCCAAGATTAAACCATAGGAATACTTTAAGTGCCTTTCGGAGCCTGAGTTGCCAGTTACATTATTGACTTCCCGGAAAGGAGGCTGGGAGCAGGCTGGATGCTCTTCCCCGCCTGCTCGGAGCTGCCCCCCCTCGCAGCAGGAGGGTCAATGTGGGACCGTGCGGTGCCGCCGCGTGGGCCAGGAGGGCAGGAGCAGCGATTTCAAGGCTTGTACCTCTCAGGACACAGGTTTGGGCGTCGGTGCAGAAGAGTGGAGTTTAGTTAACTAACCCAGTGCCCTGTAACACAAAGCCAGGGTTCGTGTTGCAGGGACACAGCATTCACTTTCCACAGTGCCCTGAAAAGGATATTTATTTGGCGGCTTTACTTCTCCTTTGTTACTGTTTTAGCTGTTGAGTGCGCTATCTCTTCAGCATAATGTGGCAGAGTCTGTGGAAAGAAATGCAGCAGAGCAGGACAAATAAGGTCCAAGATCATTAGCATTTCAGGATAATTACTACAACCATCAGTGAGAAATATTTTAGAAAACAGTATCTGCTTTTTAATCTCCAAAATACTATGAAGCAGGGTGTGAATCTGCCTACCCTAGCTAATTGCCACTGGAAGAAAATGCTCTTCTGTTTGGATTTTGGTTTGTTGGTTGTGTTTTATTTTTTGCTGTTTTGTTTTGGGTTTTGTTTTTTTCAACTGTAGCTGTAAATTTGTCTGTAATTCTAGCAAAGGGAAGAGTACAAAACTACTGATCAGGTCTGTCCGCTTAAGAACAGGGTTTCCGCACACATGCAAGTGCTGATAGAAGGCAAAGAATGAAAATTTTGGAAAACAGAAAAACCCAAACCATTGGGAGACAAGGCAATTTTGTGCATAAGATCCCTTTCCCTCGAGTACTGAGGAAAAGTTGGAAGAGAAGTGGTGATCCCCCCGCGGCTCCGGTTTGGAGAGGAGTCGGCCGTGGTACCGCTAAAGGAAGAAATGACCGAACTGCAGTTCGGTGAGCTTGCTCTCGCTTTTATTTATTTGTTACTAATAACGCTGCTGTTACTTCTACTCTGAATGATTGGCTCTGTGTATTTTCCAGATGCTATTTAGGGAGGTCTGATACCCTTTCAGAATAGCGAGTTACACTGTCCAGTCACCTTGCTGCACTGGAACTAGCTGAACCGCAGGCCCGAGGAGCAAGGAGCCCCAGGAGCCGCGGCAGGAGGCGGCGGGTGGCGGGGAGAGCAGGGGTGCAGGGCAGGCCCTGCCCGCGGAGCTGCGCCTGGGGCTCTGCACAAACAAAAATTGCCCCCGTGGTCCGAGTCTGGGGCTGTTAAGGGGGGTTGTGTGCTGTGAGGAAGGGCGGGCAGAGCCCGGGGTGGGAGCCGGGGCAGAGCCCCCCGGCAGAGCCGGCTCCGGAGCCTTTACTTCAGCGCAGAGGTAGGTGCGGTTTTCTTCATCCCTTAATGACTTGTAAGAAGCCGCCAGCAAGCTTAGGCTGCGCTTTGGGTTTCTGCAAAGCCAGACCTGATTAACCTCCAGGTCGCTGCCAGGAGAGGCAGCTCCGCTCCATTTTTGTGTTTAAATTGTAGAAAAATGAAGGCAGCAACAGGATCTAAATGAACCCATATTACTGCAGCCTGTATTATTTTGAGAAGAAACCCAGAATTGTGTTATAAGAACTGACTATTACTAAGCTACTGAAATATCCTGAAAGGCAACAAGAAGCTACAAAACCCACAACAGGAAAGACATCTATGAACCAGCACGTTGCGAGCAGTGAGTCTGTCTGCATCCCCTGCTGTTCCCGGTAGGCAGCAGGAAGAGTCCTGCTCAGTTGCTTTACAGGATTAGCAGAGCAGATGTTTTTATTTCAAGCACCCAAAGCCAGTACTAGCAAAAGCGTTAAAATACTTTGTCAGTGTCTTGAGCATTTCTGCAAAATAATTTATGAAAGTTGTTTTTTTTTTCAATAAGGAACTTAACTTTCTTTTGATATTTAATTTCTGAATATATTTTTTCACAAAACTGGATTTGCTGTAGTTAATGATCATGATCCTGATTTCTTTTGTAATTGTAAATTTTATAATTTGTAAAAAACTAGAATGTCCTTCAAAAGAAATTTACAATAAAATTTGGTTAAAAATAGACGCGTTACCTTGATTTGTGATTGTTTTTTTTTTTTTTCTAAAGAGTAACTTGATGGCTGAGTGTGGTCTGTAACACGTGGTTCGCACAGCTTCAAACCTCAGTGCCTCTTTTACAGTTAAAGTGTTGTTATTTTTCCGATTATGTGTATTTGTTGCACACCAGAGCTCTAAGCATAGACCCGAACAAAGCAGATCTGCACAGTAAGGAGCTGTTGTAGAAACACAGAAGGGGGCTCTCGAACCCTCCTGCATTTTCTCTTCGCCGGTACTGAAGCCTGTGCTGCTAGATTTTACCATTAATCCCTTATTTTACGGGCAAAGAGGCAAAAATCGGACTGGCTAGAGCCGCGAAATCCTGAGCAGCCCCTGGAGCCCGTGGCGGGAGGATCCCCGTCGGGCGGGCGGCAGGGACTGGGCAGGAGCCGGCCCTGGCAGAGCTGCCCCGGGACGGAGATCAGAAGGGGGGGATGAGGGACGTGGCTGCGATGCCCAGGGCTGCTGCGATGCGGGAGTGGCGATGGGTACGTGCAGGGAAAAGCCTCCACCAAGGGCCCAGCGCCGGCCCCACAGCCGCTGCGGCCCCGGGAGAGCGGCTGCGCCAGGACCCACCAGCTACGCCTGGAACCAGAGCCAGTCAATCCAAACGCACGGCAGAGGGTAACGGGCCGAGCCTGAGCCTGGGCTCAGTTGCCAGAAGCCAGCAGACGAGTCGGTTTGTGGCCCTGGGAAGATGCTGCTCAAGCATCTGGGAGGACAAAGAAGGTTCCTGGCAATAACCCGAGCAAACTCGTCACGGGGAGCTCCCACATCACTCGGTGAGCTCTACCTGAGGTCGGATGCCGTTGCTCCAGCTTCACGCTGCCCATAAAAGAATGGTGAGAGCACTGTGAGCCCTTCAGCTGAAGTTTGGAATGCTCATCAAGCGACCGATTGTACAGCGCTACATGAACCACAAGCTTGCTTTTGGTTCGTGATGCCATTCCAGGAGCCACGCGAACACGGCCCGGGCCTCTCGCTGCACTGGAACCCGGCGGTTCCCACCACCAGGAATTTCTCAGCTGCTGCCACGAGCTTTCGCCACTCCCAGAGGCCAGGGTGGGACGGCAGCAGCGCTTGTCTTCACCAGCTCACTTTTGGAACACCTAAAGCTGTTAACCTCCTACAGAAGTAAAAAAAAAAAAATTCTCCAAAGCTGGGTGTTGTAAGAACCAGCAACTAGCAAACAGGCTTCTTGCTCACTACTAACCAATTTAATCTGCTGCTGTTGGAAAAATCACTTTGATCATAAAGCCTGTAGGGTAAGTGTACAAGGAGCAAAACACATTAAAAAAAATTTCAAGTAGACGCGAAGAGATGCTGCAGTGCAAATGGACAGAGTTTAGGAAGCCGTTAGCTGTCATTTACTTACATGCTCTTTTGAAGACAGCGTGTGAACCGTCCCTCGGTAACAAAGCCATGTTCCTGCACACGCTTCGTTCGTCGGGCTGGCACGAGTCAGTGGTGCCCACGGCTGGTCCGGGGGTGTCAGTGTCCCCGAGAACAGACTCGAACCACCTCCCAGCCAGGAAGAAGACAGGGCAAATATCAATCATCTGCTTGATTTTTTTCCATGTATGTACAAAAGGGCAGGGGGGAACATCAAAGCAGCTCAGACCACTCATTGCAGGTGAGAAAAAAAATCCCGACCGTGTGCAGGGAAGTCAGAAGCCTCTGGCAAGTAACACGCACGTGGAAGGTAGAGAGGGAAAGGTCTTCAGCAACAAGAGTCTTGTGGGTTGCCCCAGCTTCCAATTCCAGTGCCTAAAATGTTTCTAACCTAACGAATGAACAAGATCTAAAAATGACTTTACCATTTGTACAGCATCATAAACTTAAAATAGGTTTGGTTTCTTTTTTTTTTGTTTGTTTTTTTTTTTTTTTTAAATAAAAGTTATTTCTAATGGAAGAAAGCATCTGTAAATAAGCAAAGCAGTATGCCAAGCAAGCAAACAAGTAGGGTGAGTACAGGAAAATGTACAAAGCTGAATGTAAAGTTATTGACGAATAATACCAGGAACACTTCTGCTAGATTAGTCTAAACACCAAAAATACTTCTACATCAGAAAGAGAAAAGTTTGCCAGCCCAGCCTGCTGTCGCAGACAAGCACGCTTTGTTTACATGTGGCACTATTGGGAATGAATCACGTTAGCAATTCCTGAGTTTAAATAAGACAAAAAACCTAAATACTGCCCTAGAGATAGTTTGATTCCTTTATTACGAGAAGCACGGAAAACAGGCTCCTGCTTGCCAGTTCTATTCAAGAAGTGAGGAAGGTCACAGCTCCAGCAGTGCGCTGCCTGCATCTCAGAGGTGTGGCCAACCTCCCCGCTCCCCCCTTCAAAACAAATTGGAGGGTGATTAATGCCATTTGTGTTAAGTGTTAATGCTTTTTCAGTGCCTCATAAGATAATCCAGGAATGCTTGTTTGTCTAAAAACCAACTGCATAAGATATGCCATAATATGGGCAGAGTAAAATAATCGAGGTGGAAAATGATTTGCAGTGATACGGAATTACCTGAGTGTTTTTCTATTTAGTTAAGCAGACGTAATAGGCCCACCCCGGATGCAATCAGTGTGTGACATTAATAAATTTTAAAAAGAGCATGTGAAATTCAGATGGCATGTCATATGCAAATCTTTCTGGCACCTGTACACAGCCACCATAATTGAGAAAGCTTTATCATCTAGCTCATAGCAAAGGAGATCTGAAATTCCAGACAGAATTTATAGATAGCGTTCATATTCTGAACTGTATAAAATAAAATGGAACTACTATCTTAGACTTTAAATATTTTACTATGCAGTACTAAAACCATCTGTCTTCCAACACAAAAAGAAAATACAAATCCAACTGAATGGCTTGTCAGAGTAACAGTACTTTACAGAAGTATAATATTAATGTAATACTATGGTCTTTCCCAAACTGTTGGCGTTTCAGATATTAAGAGTATTTTTCTTTTGTATTGCACAGACTCAAACGCATAGACAGCCATTTTCATACACTGGAGTAAGAAAACTTCCAAGATTATATGAATAAAATAGATACATTGGAAATCAGATAAAGCTTTACAAGAATTTCCCCAAGTGTCCAAAATGATTTCCTTTATCAAAGGCTTAATGGTGACATGATTCCCTCTTCTAGAGTAACATGTTTTACATCAGATTGTGCCCAAATACAAAACAAAACAAAAAAAGCACCACTTAGGTAAAACAAGAGTGATCACTGCAAAGACAGCAGGTTTTATAAGGGATGCTAAGATTAAGATGAAATTTCTTGAGAATACTGTTGCCCCAGAGAAGTGTCTTAGAAACTCCGAATGAACGTACCCTTTAACCTCTCCGTTCCGTTTCTGTACTTCACGGCCTCCGAGTCCATTTCACAGCCCACTTACTGTCTCGCTGCACCAGCAAGCGGTTCCCAGCGGCGGGGGGGCAGCGCGGGGGGCTCCCCAGGCTGGAGCTGCCCAGCGCCCCGCGGGCCACACTGCAGTCAGCTGGGGGGCTGGCTCTGCCCCCCCCCGGCCCTGCGCCTTGAACCCAGCAGCGCTCTGGCATTTAACTTGAACTCAGGAGCTGGGAACTTTCGTACCCCATTTTCTTTGCTATTTGTAATAATCGAGTAAGATATGGTTACATCCCATTCATATACTGCCATTTGTAATATTTATACAGAATATTAACATACACATATGTAAGAACTAGGATATTCTTTATGGCCTCTATTTTCTGATGTATTTAACAAAAACAAGCAAATAAACAAAAAACCCAAAAAAGAGAAACAATTGCTGGTGTTTCCAGTTTCCCAACAGAGATGCAGGACCAAACCCTGAGCAACTGCTCTGTGCTATGGTTTTGTTGCAACAAGGAATTATGACGATTCTGCACCGGAGAGGCCCCCATTACCTCTCCGTGTCAGCGTACTGGGGGAGGGAAGTCAAAAATCTGCAACAAAAGCTCATCCAAAAGCATAACCTAAATGACCGTCTCTGTTTCAAGACAGGACACACTCGGAGCCTAATGGATTCGTTCGGTGCAGCCCACATCTCGGGCTTTGTTTGCTGCACTTTACGTGTGAAAGCAAAACATTATAGCTAACTGTGTAATGCAAAAAAACCTGAACACCATTCCCACAGGCAGGAAAAATCCACTAGTACAATGTGCCATGCTTCTGGCTGTGCTAAGGGCTGAAAATACAAGGGAAGGAGTAGCTTCTGCCTCAGTAGTTCTGTCTGAAAAGCTATGTGTGGAAAACCAACCCAACCCCCCCCCCAAACCCCAAACCCCCCCTCGTGCTTTGGTCAGTGCAAGAGTCCCCGGGGTTTCCAGTGGCGGAGAGTGAGGAAGCAGTGGCAGGGACCAGGACAGGGGGGGACTCTGAACTGTGTGTGAATTGCAGCACGGTGATGGTCCTGCAGCTATCCTGGCTCAGCCTTCCATAAAAGAGATGCTTGGGTTTATGCTGGCTCAAAAAAAAAAACAAAAAAAGCCCTCTGTCAATGCCAAAGGGACATCCAAAGGCCATCAGAAGCATTACTCAAAGGTTTCCCATCGCTTTCTGAGCTGTTCAACCTTACCTGGTGTGGATGACACGTCTTGCTTTGTCTTTTTTAACAAATCTTCAAATGGATCTTTTGTCTCCTCAGATTTTGAGGATAGTAACACTGACTCTAAGCCCTTAGCTGGCCTGGAGGGGATCAAAGGGGGTTCATTAGACAGGAGAGCTAGTGCTTGTTTGGGATCTACCTTAGAGCTGGACTGGCCCACCTGTAACGTTCTGGGTTTAGAAGGACCGCTGAAGCCCGCTGGCTGTAGAGAGCTTGTGGGAGAAGGGCCATGGCTCTGCAGCAGTAAGGAGCTAGCTGGTGGCACAGCTGGAGCCTGGCTAAACAAGTTTGGCATGGATAGTGTTGAAATGTTTGGTTGAGGTCTTTGTGGTGGGTAGAAGCTAGAATTGGGTGTTATGAAGCTAGAGCTATAAGCATGCCCTAAAGAGGGGGTGAAAGAGCCCCTTGGGGGTCTAACGAGAGACACTGCGAGGGCTCCTGGCACTGTGTGTGTAAATGGATTTGGAGATGGCTGTAAGAAAGGTGGTGGCGCTGGGGAGGGGTAACCAAGTGCCTGGACAAATGGTGCAGCTGGGGGAGACACAAAGTCACTGGCCACCGAGACAAAGCCAGCTGCAGAAGGTGGAGTGGCTGCGCTTTGCAGGCTACGGGGACCTTGCTGGGGGCCACTGCTTTGCCAGCTGGCTGTTTTTAACGGATCCAGGAGATTAAGCAGGTAGTCGCTTTCATTACCTGTACTCTCCGTCTTCACCTTGACAGGTTGGAGCATCTCAGCAGTGCTGGTAGCACTGGACATACGCTGAGACGGATGAGAGGAATAATTTACAGACTGCTGGACATCAGGGTCTAAGGACACACTGCCAACTCCAAAGGGCTCTGGGATAAGATCTGACACCAAAGGGCTACGTCCTGTAGTGTGGGTGGTGAGAATTTCCGTCGGCCCCGCTGGCGTCTGATGCTTGGAAGCCCGGGGAGCTGGTGGTGGTGGCACTATCCCCAGTTCAGGAGTCTTTCTTCCCTGTGGCCTAGGAATGGTGATGTTCCCTTGAATGGCAGGGTTTGAGTCCTCCTTTTCTGCAGGGGCCAGAATGCTGTCCCTGCTCCGGGGTCTCCTTGTGATGGGCGGCATGTTCCCCAGCGCGGTCAGGGGCCTTTCCGGTGAGCTTTGGGAATACTTGGTAGGAATAGCCATATCGTCATGACCCATACTCCACAGCTTGTTGTAAGGGTGAGACAGCTTCATGGTTGGCACAATCCTGTTCCTCTCAGACACACCAAGATCCATTCTCTGCAAGAAAGCATTTAAAAAAAAAAAAAAGTTAATTTTTATCGATTTCCTCACAACATAGAGCATAAAGTGAGGACGGGCTGCTGAGGTGTGAGTGGCAGAGGATCCGTCCCCAGAGTGTGACCACTGGCGAGGGACAACAGCACGCAGCCTAGAAGGACAGCCAGGAAACGGGAAGCAGGACTCTGCAGTTTTAATTCCAGCTCTAATGAGTTGTTCAGCTGTGACATATTGTGGCATCTGTTGTTAGCCAAGTAAGGAGCACGTACCTATATCTAAGACACAGAAATTGAGAAGCCTTAATTGCTGTATGGAAAAAGCTGTCAAATGACATATCTGGATGTAACACTAAATTAAATATTATTATAAGGTAGAAATGACATTCTTTGCTTTCATGTCACAAGAAGATCTCAGACTCTGCTTTAGTTTGGCACTAAGCTGCACATATTCTGTGAAGTTCCTCATAAAGAATCTCTCTTCTACAGTCTAAATGGTTCGAATGATGCCTACAGCAAAACAGGCGCATTAGAAGAAGGTCCTTTAAAAACTACGCAGTTTGGTGGTGACCTGAAAATTCTCAGGTATTCATTCTCAATGCTGAGCATCAGCCCCAAAGATAACTGGGTGCGATTGCCAATGGACAAAACCGATTCTGAGGCACAGGGCAACTACTTCCTCCTCCAGAAGTAAAGGTTGTAGTTCTAGTGAAAAGTGTTACTCTCTTGTAACTGAGTCCCACTCCAATAATTCCTTAATTCAGAAATTAATTTTGAAACACGTGAACAAATGCCTGGAAAATGGATGCATCTACTCAGTAATAGGAAAATGTTCCTCAGAGAATAAGGGGAGCCAGCCAGTCCTAGTTCTGTGCAAACCCCCAGCGTACGGGAAGCCCTGTCCAAACCTGATAATCAAACGTGCAGCGCTGATCGCCCTCTTCTTTGGGAGTCCGCAGGTCTTCTAGGCTCTTAGCTTGGCTGAGAGGCTGAGGCTGTGTTTCTACTTCTAAGTTAGGGAAAATGTCTTCAAGGAGGTTGATTTCTGTGGCCTTACTTGAGAGCAGAGGGCTTGGAGGCAGAGGCTCTTTTGATTTTTCTGGACTGACTGCCTCTTCCCCATCAGCACTATCCGATTCTTTCAGGGCCCGGTATGGCTGAGGCCTAGGAGAGAAACAAAAATCACGTTGCAAATGACTGACTGTCTAATTTTTTTAAAGCAAGTATTTAGCGAGGAGCTGGATGGGTTTACAGAAAGCTTTTGGGTGGCAAAGTACAGCTTACAGTGCCCTGTGACCAGCAGGTGTGTGAGCAAAGTGACCAAGGGCAGAAGGACATACAAAGATGACTTGGCACTTGAAGGTTTTCAGAAAGGAAAAAGATGTAAGTGGGAAGTAGTCGGAGGAAAGCTGTGATCGTGCAGTTGCAGACAGGCTGATGAGGGATCTCTCTGGGAGCAGGAGCAGCTGGACACGAGCTCTCTGTGTGGGCAGCCGGGCTCTCCCCCTCCGGCAGAGCACTGCCGCCGCGCTCCGGCCTTTTACGCAAGAAGTCAGAGCGAGCGCGCCGCGAAGCGCCCCGTGTTTTGCAGGCACTTACATTCTCTTGCTTCAAGCTAACTCAGCACAGAACATAATTCAGTGTTTTCCTGCAATAATTGGGAACGCTGTGCAGAGTTCCAATGATTACATTGGTGTCATCTTATCAAGAAACAACACAATCCATTATGGAGACACCTATTTTACATTTACAGCCAAGGCCGAGTTAGCAGGATGCTTTTCTTGCACATACCTCAGCAAAAAAATGAACACCAGCAGATTTGCATATTGGTTCTGTGTACAGAGAACAGCAGCATAATGCACAGCCAATTAATAACAAGAAGTGCCATACGTATCTGTGGTGATTGGCATTTGACTGGCAGCCAGTTTTACTGTGGCATTTAAACAAGGTTTCAATTAAATGAAAATATTTGTGAGACCTGCAAAAACAGATACTATGGAAGAACCCTCCTCCTCTTTCCATATTTTATTATAATACATCTATATCATGCAAATTTATTAGCAGCCCATCTTACTTCATTCATCAACACATAAATAGCAGGCATTCAGCTAGCAACACAAGAGAGTAATAATGCAAGTACAGGACAGACAGCTGATGGCACATGTCCTTAGGAAGAGGGTGATCTTGCAAATCTTGGTCGTATCTTTAGTCTCTCCCATTGTATGTGCTCACACTCTAAGCACTAGATCATACTGCAAAAAACCATGGGGAATATTCTGCAAGCAAACCATTTTAGCGGCCTGGCCTTCACCCCAAACACAAGGGCACATTTTTCTGGGCCTTTGCTACTGAATCCTTCCCCCCAAGCCCGGCTGCCTGCAGTCACATCCCTTCCCTGTCAGTCTCGGAACCTGCTTTCTGCAACACACAATGAGTTTTAGCAACTGGAGACGCCCCTACCAACCTGGCAGCCTCCTTCTCCAGCCTAGGGTACCACGGCTGCACCCGGCCGGCTCCAGTTGCTCGGAGGTGCCTGGGCACCCGTCTCCCCGAACCACCCGGATCTGGCAGCATGCAGATTTCTGAAGCAGCAGCTCGTAGTAGCCTGACACCTCCTACAGGTTCTGGTCAAGCCAGTGACTGCGTTTGTTAAAAGAATGAGTGTAGTTTGGTGCAATTTGTCCCCGTTTCTCCCCCTGGAAATCCTCAAGCTGGTGCGGTTCGGAAAGAAGAAACCCTCCGGATGATGTTCAGTGAGGCCTTAGCTCAAAACTGCCCTGGGGGGTTGGTATGTTCAGGTATGCAGCGAGAGGTATTTAGTACAGCACCCTCCACACCACAGGGTTACTCTCCTCTCAAACGCCCAGGCCCCCGGGAACACTGGCCAGGTGACAGGAGCCGACAGGCAACACTCCTTCCCCCAACACGGGCACCTCGGGCTGGGGGCAGAATCCTGCAGCCGGTGCTTAAACGTACAGTTCTCACGGGCTGGTAGGCGAGGCTAAGTTACAGAGGTTGGGGAATTGACAACTATTGACAAATTAAAAAGTTGGATACAAATCACAGAGTGAGCAAACCCAACAAACTGCTTCCTGTTTCTTGGGTAAGTTTAGGTCAGATTGTACACAAACCCTTCGGAGGACGCCTGCGTGGCGACTCCCCACAGTCACTGAGATCTGGCACTTGACAGAACAGAGAGGCTGGGATCAAGCAAGTGAAACCAGAAAAAAGCCAATCACTGCACTGAAATAAGGCTCACAGGACAGTCCAAAAAGCACAGCTAGAACTGCACAGGGAGGAATGGCAGAAGGTTCGGACAGGAACGCAAGCAGCACATTGGAACAAAGGGCAACTGGCAGGGTTACATCCCACAGAGCTCGGGGGGGGGTAAAACCAGGAGCTGTGCATTGCTGCAGTGTTTCATGCAGGAGGGTGCTTTTGCATGCCGCTAAATTTCAAAACAAACAAGCGAGAGAAATGCTGCACATTCATCAAGCGCCGTACAGAGACCGCAGGAGCATTTCCAAAATTCCAAGTATAGGAGCAGGCATCCTGACCAATGCAAAACCCACTGCTTGATGACTGAATTAATACAATGAAAGAATAAAGGATAGACCATTCAAAAGGAGCAGAGAAGAAAAAGTTTTCAGAGAAGCCAGAGACAGGATCCTCTTCCTGCTGAAATTCATCATCAGAAGAGTCCTCAGAGAGGAAGACTGTATAGTGTCGCATGGGCTTTACAAGGCTGAGGGAAACAGGAAGAGAAAAGGAAGTTATCAAGTTGTCACATTCAAAGCTCCAGAGGAGAGAGAAACCAAGTGATTCGTAGGCTCTAAATCATTTCTGAACATGACTGACTGCCACCGCGCAGGGCTCTGCAGGTGAATGGTGAGCTTTATTTCTCAGGCAGAAAATACAACTCTGCTAAAAAAGTCCGGGGTGCCACCTGGTCGGGAAGGGTACTCAGACCTGCAATCACACCCACATTGCGAAAGAAGCTCATACAGAAACCCACCTTTCCCCCACCACATTTTCTAGAGAGTCGGGCATGGTTTTGTTCTTTAGAAATACAGCTTCACCCCCCAGATTCTCTGAGCTCTGACTACAAGCAAGCAAATGTTAGATCTACCTCTCCGCTTTACAGATATTTAGACTGACATTAGTCTGATGTATGAGAGGAGCTGACTTGAGGGTAACAATTCCTACTTGTATCTATTTTTGAGATCTGAAATTGCTTCACACGAATAAAAACAAAACCGTCCAAAGACTTATATAAAATGCAGTTTGTCAAGTAAGGTGTATACATTTCTTTCCTCAGTGGTTAACTACTTTCAAAGTCTGGCAGAAAAGGGACTCAAACTGATTTCTCCCGCATCACAGGATGGTAACTATCAATCTATGAATTCATTAGCAGGGGCCGGGAACAAAAATCCTTTCAGATGAAAACTACTTAAAATCAGAAGTGCCTCTGGAAACACACTTTAGCTGCAATTTAGAAAAAAAAAAAAAAAAAAGCCAACCCCCCCTCCCCCAACCAAAAACCAGCAAAATCCCAACCACAACCAAATTTGACAAGAATGTATTAGTCATCTTTATTTTATACACAGAGGTCAGGATTTGCTCTTGTACCTAATGAAGACTATGCCTAAATTCTGTCAATGTAAAACTAACTGTGCATGCCTGTACAGGTCTGGGTAAACACAGACTGGTTGGGGGATAAAAGAAAAAATATTTAAAGCTTGCTGAATTTATGTATATTTTTTTCTATTATTTACTGTAGCTATCAGTTGCTTCAATTCATTTTAACCAAAACCTCAGTAAATTACTCTTTTCTGCATAAAGTAGAAGCTCCTAAGATTCACTGTTTCCACTGGAGCAAATGCAGAAGTGGCTATTGCTCCTTTAAACAATTAAATGCACTATCAGCTTTAGCAGAAGAGGAAGGTGTATAGGAGCAGGGTACTTAAGCAGAAATAAACTGCAATGAAGAGGTTGAAGAGTATGAAGGAATTAATACCAAATATTGCCTCGTTTGTAAGGCTAAAATATACTAATTTTTAGTAAAGTATGAAGCAAGGGCCTCTGAAACACTGAAGCTCTGGATGGCTAAAGAGCTTATAGAAAACATTCTCACAAATGAAATATTAAGACGAGTGCTTCACAAGTAACTGAAAGCGGTAAAGGCACATTAAGATTTACCAGTAGTAACCAGAGGCCTCTCCACCACGGCCCAGCGCTTTTCAATCTACTAGAACTCAAGGACAACGTTGTGTAGAGACACCAAAACTGTATGCACTTATAGTAAAACCTCTACTCAATTTTTAACAGTTATGTATTGTTTCTTATTTATTTTCCCCATCTCAGTTGCATCCTGGCATATCTAAGTGTGCGTGAGTGGAAACGAAAAAAAACTCAAGAAAACCTCTTTTCAACAGCATTATAAACCACCTTTATATGCCTCATGGACCAAACAACAGGCTGATGACCACGGACGGACGTTGCACCATTTACTGGGCCCTTTTTTTCTTCCCCACATCACTAGAACAATGGAAAAGGAATCACTAGGATCATAAAAGCAAACACTGTTTCTCGCCATCTAAATGAGCTCTCCTCCCAAACGTCTTCATTTTATCAACCACATATCACTGATAATATCCCAGTTATTGTAGTGAGTCAAAGCACACATCGTGAGTGACACAAAGAATACACAACTGAGATGGGGAGCCAAATTTTGCTACTACTGAGGCTCAAAATAAAATGTGTTATTTCAGCGTAAGCAGAATCAGGCTCATCATGTGGAACAAAGGACAGGCCCCGATCCCGTCAACTTCGTAGAGCAACGCAAATGTATCACCCCACTGTGTAGGTTATATGCTGGAATCGGAACACGACCAAAAGCACGGATAGAGAGAATTAGATTTGTTGCCTTTGGAGTACAGACACACTAACAAACTACCTCTAGTGGCACTTGAATTCATAATCAGCCTTCACTCTTCTAGTTCCTTTGTCTCAATCACTAAATACCTATACAATAAAGTTATGAAAATCGGTCTAAAACATTAGGTCGGAAAAAGAGAAGTTGGACACTGCAACTGACAGCTCGGGAGGGCCTGAGCTGCCACTGTGAATAAATGTTTATTCACAATCAGGTCAGAGCTAATTAATAAAAAGTCTAAAATAGTGGTGGCAGTGGATGCAGCTGATAGTGTTAAATCATAGTCTGTGGTACTCCAATTAAAGCTGTTGCATAGCTGTTCTTTTCCTCTCTTCTGCTATAACAGGCATCCAGGGAAAGTGAGGTGGTGCCACTGCATTAGGAAAAATTTGCTATAAGAAAGCGACTATTATCCAAATATCAATTTACAGTAACAAAAGGCTCCACCTAAAATAAATCAGAAATCAAAGATACTTCAAAAATATTTCATTTTTTGAAGTTATATACACCTTTTTTTGTCTTAGAAGAATAAATTACCATTTAACATGATTCCTAAAATTATTTCCAGAAATCAAGAGCAATAGTGAATTTCCACATATCTTGCCAATGCACTAAATGTTTGGTAACTGCATATAACAAATGTATCGGGGCAGCTGCCCTTAAAGCACTGCCTCGATACCTTTTGTTTGCCTTCAGACTATGCTAAATTCAAATGTGTTGTGTCTGTGTGCACATATTAAATATGCTGGGAACAAACTGTGAAGAAATAAGATAGGATCTGGTTGGCTAGATCATCAATTGCACTTCAGTGCAGCTCAGTGCAGACAAGATTAAATATATAGCAAGGTAATATGCACCCGTTTTGTTGCTGTTGCAAGACTCTTTAAATGAAAGTGGGATCTCATAATTAGAGAAAAGAAAGCACTTAAGTTTCACTGTTGGCGTGCTCTGTGAGAGAATTTGGTCCGAGAGAAGGGATGAACAATCTAAAATTGTCCAAGTTTAAATTTTTTATTAGCTGGAGGCAGTAGAATCCAAAAAAAGTGCCTATTCCCTCATTAACCCAATTCGGCAACTCTCCTGCAGTCTGCCACCCACCACTTGCTAGAATTTCATACACAAAGAGCTGTCTCTGAAAAGGCAGGTCACAGCAAGCCCGGCTACAAGGCAGGCACTGCTGCAGTCTTAGAGGGAAAAAAGGATGTGTCCGTCACAGCTACAACCCTCATCATCTCCACATGACTGCACCAGCTCCTGCCTACCTAATCTCTTAGCTGAGTTACCATGCAGATGACTTGCTGATCTCTTTCTAATGTTTAGTTTAACATGTCTTCGGTTAGCACTAGCATATGACAGTACTGACAGCCGTGGCTGTTCCTTTTTAAATATCATGTCAGAAACACAGTGCAATAAAGCTGGGGATGCGCTCCATGGCTCGGCGTACCATTATGATAGTGTGGGTTTCTTTTTTAATGAGGAAGATCTGCATCTCAGGAGCTTTTTTCATGTGTCAGGATGCATGGACAAATCAGCAGCACATCACACTGGCCAAAAATGAAATGCTGACAAATGTAGATATTTCAAATTTAATTGACACCTAAATGTACTTGAGATAGAAAAAAATATATACAGAAAATGTGACTACAGGATATGGGAATTAATAAGGAGAATTCTGTAATAATTTTAAAAGATATTTTGGTTATGAAGAAATTAACTTTGTGTCTTTTACTAACTGTGCTTTTTCCTGATTATAGAGATTACGGTACAAAGGGGTAGTATAGACTTCTCGTCATTATTTGCCTAAAAAGGGCTTCCCAAATTTAAGGATTTTTTTTTTTTAATTAATTTATTTTTTTTAAGAATAACTATATAGCAGCTCTAGGGAATTAAGGAATTTGTTCCTCTTAGATAGTAAAATGAGGAGAATGAAGGATCTGGATGCATGGGCTTTTTCTTGCCAGTATGAAATAAGAGACTCGGGACTGTGGGGATTACCCAGTAACTATTCACTCTGAACAAAGCACAGACCTATCACTGGAATTCCTTCCTGCATCTTCTGAATACTCAGTACACCCAAGTGTGAGCTAACAAAAAACATTAAAATATCTATTTGATTTTTAAAGTGTCACTTTGTATACCGTGAATGCTCATAGAAGCAGAATATTTCCGGAAAAACAGAAACAGCAGCATAAAGGGTATTTTAAATTAAAACAACAAAAAAATTCGTACCGCAAGTCACCCAACCAGATAACAAAAACAACAGCTTGTGATCACTGCGACCAGTAAAGGCAGGTAACTAATTGCTTTATAGTTTTTATAAACTTTTTACAGATTTTCTAGAGAGTTGGAAATATTAACAAAAAATTTAAAGTGGGAACAAGCTGGATGACACCTCTGCTGGCTCTGACAGATCTAGATGCAAGATTCTACAGAGTCGTTTCACATTTTTGTCCTATTCCTCAGTACTAAGGATCCAGTCACCGATTTCCCCCGCAGCTATCACATCCCTTCACGCAGGCGAGTTGCGTGCATTCAGTCAGTTCGCTCCAAAGCAGGCAGCAGAAATTGGCCCCACAATTAAAGTTTCTTTTAAACCATCCTACGGGAAAAGGTGGGAGCGCCAGGAAGGGCCGCGGTTCCCAGAGGGCAGCCCTGCCTGCCCTGTGCCACGGTTCTCGTTTGGCAAGGCCCGCAACAAGGCCCAGCTGCTGCCCGTCCGCGGCTTCCCCCCATTGCTGGGCATCTGCCTTCTTGGTTTTACTGTCACCGTACCCAATTCTCCCAGGGCAGAGGAACCGAAGCAGACGCAGCGAGTCTTGCCGGCTCTAGCCTGCAGTATTTTCTGTCTGACTGCAGTCAGCCTCGTTCATACAGGTACTTGCTGGCTTAGCTTTCTTCCTTCTCGCAGCTGTGCCATGGAAAACCTTTCCCGGACACAAATTCCGTGTGGCAGGGCTCTGAGAGCCCGGTTACAACAACTGGAATTTAACGTGCTTTATGAGCATGTATCATTCAGCACAGCCATCATGCTGACTTCACACTAAATTCAGTGTAATAACCCACTATTGCACTGCAGCCTATTTTCATTCATATGATATAAGGGAAAGCCATTAGCTTTACTAAGTCCTACATGACTTCTGGAAAGCCATAATGAACTGCTGCAGCACTGACACGGGCTTAGCCGGCCCAAGAGCCTTTTGACATGCTGTTAATTGTGAGCCCGACCCTCTGATTTCCCATTTTAATTTCCTCCCACTCTGCATGCCCTGGAAGCCAGCTAGTCGGTACTTACAGAAGACAGATCCTAGAGCACTCTGGAAGCCTATTCTACATTTAATAGGAAGTCTTGCTGTGGTGTAAAAGAGAGGTCTCAAAAAACTGCCTATCTGTTAAAATGCAACATCTCATTTCTCTGAACAACTAATTTGTGTTTAAGGAGGCATGTCCCATGTGTCTAGGATTGCCACAGGTGGTAATCCAGCATTTTCTGAGCTCTCATCTACAGATTCTTCCTCTTACCTTATAACTAAAAAAGTTTTTTTTTAAAAATTGTGTATTTTAGACTTAATGACAAATTTTAAGAATCAAACATCACAAACCTTGAATTATTGACAAAACTGTAAAAAACCCCTATTGTCGAAATAGATAGAAAAAAAAAAAAATCACTGAAAATTTTGATAAGGGAAACAACAGTTCTTCCATCAGCTCTTCTACATATAATGGTACAACAGAGATGAGCAATAATCTTGGGTGTTCTTTGAAGTCACTGTTCCTGCCCTCCAGTGTTTTAATTGAGGACTAACTAGAAAATGAGCACATAAATCCCCAGAACAATGTTTTTCTTTTACACACATTCAGAAAAGTAACTCGTGTAACTGCAGATACAAATTTCCTGATATCATAAGAAATGCATTCATAGCTAACAACTGAGAGCACGCCCACGCCCTGGCTAACTCTCCAGAGAGCCCAGGATGGTTAGGAAGGGCCTGCCCCGCGCATCCCGCCTCCGCCTGGGCACGAGGATGCCAGGGTCCCATCCGCTGGGGAACGGCTCTGAAGCCTTCATGGAGCCTTCACGGCCAAAAAGCTAGCGTTAGCTTCGGATACAGAAAGAAACTTCTCCTTGCCCAGAGGCTCCTCCTCACAAACATATTCCATGCAAGTACCTCGACAAAAGTAACTGGTCAATAATTAGCTTTGGAACCAGTGCAATTAAGCTAGAGTTTAGGTTAAGAAAAGCACCCTCTCAGCACTGCTGCTGCTTCCATGAACTCTCCTCTGATCTGCAGTAAGGGTGCTCTCACGCTACCAAGTAACAGGAGTGAAAACATATATTGCGGTGTTTTAATTCATTCTGATATTATCCAAGAGAGAAAACAATGAGAATTTTTTAAAGAGACTACACCTGGCTTTATGATTTCATTCAAGAACAATATAGGAAGATTGTTTCTTACTGGGACAGAAAAAAAAGTTTGTGAAAAGTGTCATGAAAATCCTATCTTTAATTACTATTCAAAAAAATATTTTTCCTTTATTCAGGATGTCATTTTGAGATAAATAGTGCGGAAAAAGGTCAGGATTACTGAGTCATTACCTATTTTAAAGGCATTCACCTGAGGTTATTTCTTTGATAAGCCATTTATTTGAGCTTTAAGTACAAGGTTAGATATTTCCTCAACTCGTACTTCAAAATCACAGCTGTAGTGTCAGTCTCATCATCATTGTGTGTTGTGTGTCCTATCTCTCCCCCACTGCCCCAACTTGTTTTTATTAAAACACTCTAACCAGACACCTTACAGGAGATCTAGTTGGGTGCAATATTCTACAATTAACTGTCTGGAAGTAGTTATGTCAAAGTTTGTTTTGCCACCTGAAGCTGATGACAGGAAAGAACGAAAATAATCAGATCCTGCTGTGATACTGCATTTGAACTGGATAAAATATCAAAGCTGTGAAACATCAGGAAGAGACCGCAGTTGGTACCATACAGCAAGTGTCAGTGGTAAGTGGTATTCGCAACAATACCTGGTTTTATTCCACATTTATAAGATGGTAAAATCTATCAGTAAAATGCTCATGAAGAAAAATAAGTTAGTTTGTAGCTACAAAGCAACTTCATTATCTTTTGTAGATCGCTGTCAATTGTTTTCACAAAAATATTTTTGTAGTTAACTCTGTAAAAGCAGCTGAATTGTAAAGACTCACTAAAATTAACAGCAATAAATGAAAACCAAGTAAAATAATAATTGTAATGCAATATATTACTAGTGTTAGCATAAATATGTTTATCATCCATGTTTACATTTATTCCTGTTCTGATACTGGCAGGGATTGAGAATACGTGTTAGCAGCAAGCCACACTGGAATGTCAAGCAGTTTTTGAGTCCAAACATACACAATCCTTCATATGAAACACACATAATGCTCAAATTGACTCAATTATCCTCCACCTACATGCAGTGAGTTGTCATACTGAATATTAAGAAAAAACTTTTATTTCAGATATTCATATAATTTTTGTGCAGGGACTGCTACCTCCCCGTTACAGCACAAGCCCTTTTGCAGGATTTGCAATCTACTCCACAAGAGGGCAACCAAATTCCACTATAAAATGGATAAATAATCCTGTAGAATTTAGAAGTGACCATTCATTTTAGCTAAAAGCCAGAATACCTCCCCATCCTAGAGTGGCTGGGCACAAGCTAGACATGCACTTAACTTTGGCAGGGAGGGAACCAAGCCTCCACCTCTTTTTCCCTCATAAACAGTGGTGACAGGGAAATGGTACACATGTGGGAAAAATGTGCGTTTAAACAAACTAACCATTTTTCTTTTTATGTGATTTTAGTGTCTTCAGATACAACAAATATCCTGTAATCTTGGGCATCAGCTAAATTATTTCACTTGACTGCCAATAAAGCCACCGCAGGCTAGAACATAAACAAATACTGTGAAGCAACTATAATATAAGCAATTACTTTGTGCTGCAGGTAGAGATGAATTACAAGGAAATCTCTGTGACAGATCACACAAGGAAAGCTCTGTGACCAGCACAACCATCTTGCAGCCCCCGAGTGTTTTGCTCGTAGACCGTGAGCAGTTCCGGGGTGACCCCACGCTCAGGCTGCACCGCCACAGCGCGGGACACGGGGAGGATGCCACTCCACTCACTGGGCAAGGGCAGCACGGAAGGTGCTTCACAGGCAGAGAATACCAGTTGAAACTTGCCACACGACTTGGGAAATGTATACTGGCTCTCTTGCCTGCTGCTCTTACCTCACTGCTCGCTTGTTTCCTCTGCAGTGTCAAGCAGGTCTGTCCCTTCTCTAGCCACATTTTTCACACCGCCTTCCTCTAAGATCAACCACCCCAGGCAAAACGCACAGTTCTTCAGCTTCCCAAGTTCTGAACTGAGAGGAGGCAACCTGCTTATTCGGACCTTTAATAAGTGCAGCTAATATCAGCCTCTGTAGCCCATCAGAACTTAGTGCTGTTGAATCTTTTGTACTTCTGAACACTTGAAGTAGCTGCACTCAGAAGAATCCAAATAATTTTAAATCCAAAATGAATATTGATGAAGCCTACACATGTATTTGTCACACACACTAGTGTCTTTTGGGCTATGTTGGTGAAGTCTGATATATCCATTCCCTTTTTTGGCTTGCACTTGATGGCCTATCGTTAACTCAGCTATGGCAATGTGTTAAAAATATCTGCAACAATACATGGTATTGTCTTCTTTGTAAAAAGTACTTTAATGTGTGACATTCTCGAAACTATCTGAGAACATCTCTCCAAGGTAACAGAATATACTGTTCATATGAACAACAGAGACATTGGAAACCAACCATTTCATACACGAGCAGTAAGCTACAGAAGAACTTATTTGCAACATTATCCCTGTTTACTTCATAGTCAAATCTAAAGAGATGATAAATTTGCTAGTACTATGCAAGACAGTTAAGCCCTCCAAGCCTTCATACAGAGCTCATTACAGACCTGCTGTTAATGGGACTCTAACAAGCATGAGACACAACCCTTACTGCCATCACTATAAAACAAATAATTCTGTATCTTCCAGGCAAAGCCTGGCAAGAACAGTGGATTTGCAGGGATGTGGCTAACGATTTCATTTAAAGCATAGTTTAAAACAAAACAATAAATGAATAAACCTCCAAAACCTGAAAATTTTCACTAAATGGGATGATCAGATTATGTCTAACTTGGCAAACCAGAATTTTCCAATACATAAACTTTGGTTTCTTGCTTTTTCACACTTGCCCTAAAATGTTCTAAAAATTAAAAAAAAAAAAAAAAAAATTTGTTAATTAAAAAAAGTTACTTTTATCTGTAGTATTTTTTTTTTAATTTCTCCTTTGGCTAGTTCCAGTTCTGAATGCACTGTTTGTGATGCAAGTAGAGAGAAGCAGAGCAGCAAAGTACTTACTGTTCTGGACTAGAAACTGAAGTCCTTCGTCCTTCCACAGCAATATTGCTCTTGGGTCTCTTAACAACATGAGGTCTTGGTGGGCGAACCTATTGCATACACACACACAGGAGACATTTCATCAAATACTTCAAGTTGAACAAACAACGGACACCGACAACAAAATATGCATAGCTACCTTTATCCTAAAGGTATCTTCCATTCTGAATTGCCTTTAAACATCTAATTTTTGTGCCACAACATTACAAATTAATATGAAGTATGAATACAAACTACAGGGACCCACAAATTGTTTAAGGACAAAAAAACCCCAGACATTTTTCAATAGCAAATGAAACATATATGCTTGTCACTGACTGCTGTTGACAAAGCAACAAAAACTGGTTCCACTGTCCTGCTGGGTACAGGCTAAATTTCTCACAAAAGATTCCCTAAACGTGAGCTTCCCCTTATACAGTTAGTTGATAACAGTGAAATTGGAAAAATCCTGTGTGTTGCTGTACATTAGATGGAAAAGTGGAGTTCAGCTCTAACATCATGATCCTTTGGTCCTCCTGATCATAGCAACCCAACTTCTCAAGTGAAGACTTCTGTGTTAGGGAGCGCTGAAAAATTTGTACTTAGAATAAACGTTATAACATGAAAAACATAGCTCATTCTTCATTAAAAATTTGCTTCCTTACAGGAGTTGAACAGAAACCCTTGCCAGACATATTATCGTTATCACCCCTAATGTTATGTTAGTTTATCTTTTGTTGTCTGTTAAAAAATCCAGAGCTTTTCTGTGGAAGATGATGTTTCTGCGAACTCAATCTGAAATAACATATCCGTCAGCTTTTAATGTTCAGAAATCAAGCTTAATTTACTTACATTAACTCCACATGCGAACAAGCTTTACTTCAAGGAAAGGAATAAGCACCTGTGATCACCATAGCGGCAAAGTTTATGCATGTGCCTACCAATACTAGTGAGTAATCCTGTTGATGAACTTCTCCCTTTGAGTCAAATGTGGGAATGAATATTTGCAGGGTCTGGGTCAGGCTTTACAAACAAGCTTTCCATTTTTTGTTAAGAAAGTACTACCTTCCCTGAAAAGAAGTCTGATTTGTTGGCTTAGCTGAATGGTGGTTTCAACAGAAATCCCCAAAGCCCTCAAATAAAGTTAGGAATACAACTCAATTTCTGACCTCCTTGAGGTTCTGCTCCCTTAATAGCCACAATATAAAGGAAGCTTTTAAAGGCCTACAACCTAAGCACTCTCTGGCTAACTAATGAATTAATTTGCAATGATAGAATAGATGCAGATTTCCCCCCACGTCTGCATTTTTTTTTGGGTAGTGTTTTTTGTTTTGTGTTTTTTTTGTTGTTGGTTTTATTTGTTTTTTTATTATTTCTTGGGGTGGGGGGTGTTTCTGGGAGTTTTTTGTTTGTTGTTTTACTTTGGTTTGTTGTTTGTTGTTTTTTTTTTGTTTGTTTGTTTTGGGTTTGTTTTTGTTTTTTTTTTTTTTTTTCTCCTTAGGCACATAAACCTCACATTTTCTTGTCAGGAAAAAGCTACCAAATTGTACGTAGTGTTTCTGCACTACACAACAGCATGCAGAAGATAGCAGCTGGATTATTGTATTGAATTTTCATTTCAAAGGCAATGGTGTACGGCAGATATGATGAAGAAATCCAGAAATGTATTGCCACTATTTCTTAGGAAAAAGGGCTTATAAAAAGGTCAGATGTTAAGGTCTTGAAGATCAGTCCCCACACAAGGCTGCTCCTCTCTACAATAAAGACGGCTTAAGAATGTGAATTTATGGCAGGAATGGAAGGATTAAGTTTGTGGCAACTTCAACTGAACTTGCAACATGGTGAAACATGGGGAAAAGAACAACAGAGCTAATTAGACGAGCTGAGCTGTCAGAGTGCGGCTGAATGGCTCGGTGCCAACAAACAAAAGGAATGGGCTGGCAATCAGCAGGATCGATGAAGAATACTGCTTCATTAGGGTTGATAAAACAGAGAGAGAGAGACCAAGAGAGAGCGAGTGCCTGCAAGAGAGGGGGGAGAGAAGCAAGAGGAACTGGGGGGAGAGGAGAGCGAGAAGGAGAAAGAGAAAAAGAAAGCAAGAAAGAAACCTGTTTAATTAAATCTGAGCTGGAAGATGATGTGTAAAGCTGGCTTGTCATCACGCTGTGAACACTTTCACCTTTGGGGTGGTAACCTGGGGGAGTGATGGTGATGGGGGAGAGAGAGCAGAGTTCTGGGTGGCGCCGGGGGACCACCAGACCAGTGGAGTTAAGGTGCCATGCTAAGTAGGATTTGGAGCATTCTTCGGGGGGGACTGCAGGGAAAAGCCTGGAGTCGAGTTGATTCCTTGCTGGATTTTGAGCCTTATGTAGCCGAACAGACAAGGTTAAATGCTTATCAAATTGCAAAAGTATGAGAGAAATACAATTACGTGAGCACATGGCCAAAAGAATAAATGTAAAAATCCAGTGCAGAAGGGTTAACTGTGCTTATTACTGTCCCCATCAACTTTATGCATGATTATTATATTTTAACTTTTTCTAATTGAATTCAGTTTCCAAACAGCCACTATTAATTAACCCTCTCTCTCTCATTATACCACCACAACTCTCTTCCAAACCAGCAGAATGTAAAGAACATATCTTTTCTGCTTCCTTAACCTTTCTTTGGTCTGTGTTTTTGTTTTTATTATTAGCAATGACTCATATTGAAAGGACTAGTGCCCATAGACTCTTCCTCATAACAGATATATCCTGAAAACAGTAAGTATTTCTCAGGAATTCTGGTATTATTTGGACTTGGCTGGAAAAGCTGAGGGACCTGGTCTCCTCTTTCAGTGCTGCCTGTAAAAACCTAGGGTAAATTACTTGCCGATACCCACCTCTGTAACGTATGCCAAGTCTAAGAGAGGGAAAAGCAGCCTGCACAAAGTATTATTTACACACACAAAAATGTGTTTCAATTATTAAAAGCCAAATAACAGTTCTGAACAACAAATTTATGTATATTTGGTACAAGCATATTTTTGGGAGTGATTATAATCATTTACATTTATCTTGAATTTCCTCTTGATGAATGAAGCATTTCTGTTCCACTTACAGACACAGCTAGATGAATGCAGTAGGAGCTTTTATTATTATATTTCCAACCTTTTATCAATCACATTGGGAGCAAAGACAGTTGACACAAACACATTATAGTGAGGACTATTAATGCACTACAGCTGGGAGATTAAACAGTTTTAGCAAGACTTTGATGTAAAAAATTACTCGATCTGAACAATACCGTTCAGCAACTTTTGTACAGAGGAATCACAACGTGCCCTCATACACCTGCCAAGCACAAACCAAGAGGGCTGTGGAGCACTATGGGAACCCCAGAGCACCCCGGAAGGTTTGTTCCTAGTGTAGCACATCTGGGAGGCTCCCCCGTATCAATCACATTTAAGAGAACACATAAGCATAGTCAATGCTACCTTTTAAACACAAAACCCAGAAATCTTCAGAGCAGGAATCCATAAAAATGACTGTGTTAAGCTAAACACCCAGAGTTAAAAAGAGGGAGAAAAAGAAACACATGCTATTGGAATGTAACACAGGAACATGCACCAAAGATCAAAAGTTAACACACACCCAAGTGCACTTGTTAACCAGTTGCCTGCTCATCCGAAACATACTTTTAACAAGTTTTAGCAAGATTAGATTTGAAAACTTGCATCTCTCTCTTTCTTATGCACATTAAGGAAGCAAGGAGTAAGATGTATATCCCTTTTGGGGGAATTATATTCAGAAAGCAAAAGTCCTGAATAAATATCTTCCAAGGCTCTTGCAAAAAATACACCCCTTTCTAAACAGATACCACTTTCCTGTGCTACTGAAAAACCAAATCACTGGTACAGATCCAGCAGAGTCTCCTGTTTTAAAGCCATCTGGCATAGCTGATATGTAACAATTGTCCTACAGTTAGTGTTTTGAATGAAAAACTGCTGAGATAAGGTACCCCTGCCTAATACAGCACAGGTATTGCACTGAGAATAATTTCTGTGTAGTTCTTCTACGGAAGAGTCACTTACTTCCTCTGGCCAACATGCTGTGCCTACATTTTTTACACTACGTAATTACATAGAGTCCCAGCTTGCATTTTAAATGAACATAAAGTATATATATATTTCATCCATAATGTGGTACTAATTTTTACCATCCAAATATAGAATTCGCTTTCTTCATGTGTATTCGCTCATCTATTCCATGGAGAAAAATTAAGCATCCCAAATTAATTTAAAGCATAAATTGCAGAGAATAATCTCTTCAGACTTCTGCTTCCTTTCATATTTGAGTTCAGTGCAAGTCTTCAAAAACTCACTGGCTAAAAACTTATACCAGCCTAGCAAGACTTTTTGTTTAAGAAATCACCGCAAAAACAAATGTTGCAACAGCAGCATCAGTTACCTGCAGAACTGACCGAAAGCTGCAGAACTCGTCAAAGAAAAGCAGAATAAATGCAGGTCCCAGGGCTGTGCCGCAGCAGAGAAGAAGGGAGTTTAGGAGCATAATTCACACATTGCTTTTTTGCAAAGTTTGACAATCCAAACTACCAAGGTTTAGTAATGCTACTAATAGCGTAATTCAGGCAGTGTTAAGCTGTGGCAGTGAAACAAAACTACCAACTACTCACGGGCCTAGATGAACGCTGTATCTTTGGAGGCGGTGGCCGAGGCGGACGGAGTCTTTGCTGCTGTATCAAAGTGGAAACTAAATTAAAGTCACCTACATGAACACACGTCTGATTTTGTGGCAAAAGCAGTATGAGGGGATGACAACACGTGAGCTACCTTAACTTCATACTCACCTCACAAAATGCAATTTGTTTGTTTGTTTGTTGTCTTCAAAACAGTGACAAATCTCATGACCTACACAGTGCCACAACAGGAAAGGCTGTATCTGCCTGTTGTCGTAGGCTTAACATGGCTTCTGTTAAACCAAAGGTAACACGACCAGCACTCCGGACCAGATCAGCCAAAATTTACTTGAGACAACAAAGACGCTCAAGGTGGATCCTTGAACCTCTGGGC